CCCCCCTCTGCCTGCTCCGTCCCCACCTCCGGAGGGGCCCAAGCGGCGGCGAGAGGCTGGCCGCATACAGTGCCTGTGCAACCTCCGAGCCGACCACACTCGCCACGCACCGCGCAGCAACCAGCAGAACCGCGACGTGCGTGTGTGTGTGTGACCGTGCGAGAAGTGTGTGTGTGTGTGTGTGTGTGTGTGTGTGTGTGTTAGAGAGTCTGCGCCCCCGAGAAACACCAGAGCATACAACACGTAAGTGTGAGGGCATATCGGCGAGGGAGGTGCACTACTCCCTGTGCCCATCAGCCGGGTGACTTTGTTTTGGGCCGCGGGGACTTGTACCGCGGTGACACGTACCGCTAAATATTGACGTGAAGCGGCGGGTCCGGCCGCACCCGGTAGTGTCGGCGCGCCAGGCAGGCGTCGGGTCGCTGCACCTTCGGCTGACAATGACTTGGCGCACTGGCGGGCGTCCAGGGAGCGTTGCTCGCGCTGCTCGCGCGGCCGCGCTAGCGGGAGCCGGGGGGAGGGTCGCCGTCGGTCATGACCGCGAGGTCACGGAGCAGCACCCCCTGGTCCCGTCAGCGACCCGCAGTGCCGACAGCCGACAGTGCTGACCGATGAAGTGCTGCTTAATATACGTTTCGTAGGACCCCATTCCTCCTACAGGGATCGTCCGGAAAGTACGTCCTCCTCGCAGATTATGGGAGCTCGGCGCCTGCGAGAATCGGGGTAGGCCACCCCGCGGTACACGCATGCACTCCATGTGAGATGTTGCCTACCTCCCAGGCGCTATAAGGGCTAGCGGAGGCAGAACTAGGAGGCAGCAGGTTCGTGAACGGCAAATGACGGACGTGCTTTAATGGATGTCAAGGGCACTACTCCGTTCTGGCACGGAAAGCGAATGTAATCGCGAATGAAACGACCCAACAAAAGTATAGGCCGGTGGTACAGTGGTGCGATATTATGCGCTGCGACAGTCTTGGAGTGCGGCGAGTCCAGCAGCGTGTCCCACGGAACAAACAAACAAACCCAGCGAGCGAACGGCCGCCACTACTGTGGTTCCGCTCACGTGGCCGTTTGTCGCAGGCGTCCGGGGACCGCGTGCTTTGTCCGAGTGTACCACACAAACCGGTGGCGGCGGCGGCGCTGGGCGCTGGTACTGTACAGCCAGTAGTTCTGTAGGAAGAAAATGACGGGGAACGCCCCAGCTATATGTGTATGGCGGGCGCTTATGCACCAACCGCCGGCTGTGGCGACGGCGATCAAAACTGTGGCGTGGAGCGCTGCTGCCAGCCCAGCCCGTCGGCCCCGCCCGGCCCGGCGCGCGCAACCTTGAGATCGCCGGAAGGCGTGGAGTGTGTGGCCGCGAGAAAGTAGTGGTGTGGCAGTGAGAGGAACGAAAGAAACGGGCCGATGGTGAAGCAGACAAACGCATCACCGACTCTGGGCGCGGGGTGGGGCGGGGCGGGGCGGGGGGAGTGAGGCAACACGCGTCACCTCTGCATCCTAAACGCACGCCGATGCAAATAACCGGACCCGGCGGAGCGAGTCGGCTGGAGAGCCAACAACAAGGAAAACAATGTTGCTTTTCTTATTTCTAAATCTCCAGCCGCTCTCGACGGGCTGGCTCCTCCTCCTTCTTCTTTCTTGGAAAGCACACGCCATATATATGTGTATTGCGATGGTGATGCGTATCGCTGCTGCCGCGGACTTGGCTGAGCATGAGAAGGAGGTTCGATACATCGCGTACTGCGTGCGCTCGGTGGCAAACGAGACGCCCGCCCGCCCGCCCGACTCGCGAACGTGCAGCAGAGGCGCGCGGGGCTCAACTCGAGATGTGCGCCAAACGCACGCCACGCTGGCCACGCACACGCACGCACGCACACAGCCCGTACAAGGTGTGCGAGTATGCAGGTGAAGGAGGGCTCCGCTGCCGCTGTGTTGCACGCGGCATGTTTGCAGCTTTCTCAATGCGGCCCGCTGAGACGCGCCGCCACCACAGCGTCGCGATGTGTCGCGCGTCCCGCCGCCGCCGTGTGACAGGCAGACCTGCAGGAGGCCTGCAGCAGCAGCCCGACCCGATCGCAACACTCACACAAACACACTTTCCACAGCAGCGCCGCCGCCGTGCCAATCCTGTTGACGCCGAGTGCGGACCCGTGTCGCGGCGGGTCTGGACTTATCCCCCCCCCCCGCCTCGCGATTACGTGATCGCCTCCGGGGAGGCTCCGGCGAGGCTTTTTATCGACTGCAACGACGTTATTGTCGCCCGGGTCGGACGGGACGTCCTTGCCGTACCCACGTTCGTCGCCGCCAGGAAGGACCTTATCGTGACCACTATACTTCGCGATTGGTTCGAAAGAAGCAGCAGCGCGACCGCTGGGGTGTGTAGCTTGCTGGGCTGGAGGCAGGGTCCTTGGCTTTGGCCCCATGTGTTGTCGACGCCGAGCAAGACGGTGTCGCTCGCCGCGAGGCCCGGACGCACATGGGCGACTCTATGCGATCCCGGTCGCCGTTGGTCGCCGTGGGTCGCTGACCCTGGCCGATCGGGGCGCACGGTTAGCACCAGTGGTTAGCAGAGGGGCACAGCTGCCAAACGGGAGCTCTGCGATGTGCCATCTCTGCAACTTGTCAACAGCAGCTGCGGCTGTGGCTCCTTGCACCTGCTTCTGCAGAGCGGGACCACCTAAGCAGCTGAGCGAAGCCACCTGCAGATGGAGGCTGTGATCCGCAAAACCTGTCGTCCAGATGTGGAGTAACCGCCGACCTCGTTATTGGTGGTAGCCACATGACCTGCGGTGGGTCAGTACAGTTTATCCAACGTACGCGTCAACCGCCGATCAAGTTGCCTTGCCTCGGCCGTGTCGGTTGCTGGCTGAAAGTCTGGGGTAATACCTTTCGGGCTTGACTCTCACTCGCTCGCTTCTCTTATGTTCCTCCAGGATGACGATGATGAGAGTTGCGGTGCTGGCGCTCCTGGTGGCGTGCGCGTGCCTGGTGCGCGCGGCCGAGGACGCCGTCATCGTGTCGGACATCGACAACAACGAGGTGCTGCCCGAGAACGACGTGAGTTGCTGTTGTTGTTTTTATTAGTTAAATAAAAATAAAACTATGTGCTGTTGGTGATGGGCCCACTGCCCTGCGAGCACCCAGCTGTGACCTTTCTCGTGTTATTCTGGCACTGTAGGTGGTGCGGGCGCGAGTGGACGAGGTGCCCGCCAGCGCCCCGGTGACGACGGACTCCCCCGTCAGCAGCACGCCGCCCGCCCCGACGGAGAGCACGCCCGAGACGACGCAGCGGCCCGACGCGGCCGACAAACCCGCGGAGCCGGCGTCCACCACCCCGGCCTCCAAGGACGCGGGGTCCCCGACCACGGGCGCGCCGCCGCGCCAGCCCAGCACCCTCGGCAAGTTCCTGAGCGACATCATCCAGGTGAGCTGAGCTGAGCTCCGGACTCACGCCGTCTCTCCTCACGGTGCATGTAAACACCGCTATGTAACTCATGTTGCCTCCTCCCAGATCCCCATCGCCGTGCTGCGTTCCGTCGGCAGCCTCCTCAGCAACACCTTCCGCGGCAACGCGAGCGGTTCCACGTCCACGACGCCGTCCCCAGCCGCCCCGTGACTCTCCTGAGGCGTAGTCCACCCGCTCTACCTCGTCCCCACGGGCGGGCCCCTCCCTCGCGACAACCCGACCGAGAAGCACGCGACTCTCCTCAGACCCAGAGTCGAGCAGCTGATCCCGGCTGAGCCAAGGCACCGCCTACTTAATGCACCATGTCGCAGTTGCCTTGGACATCGTGGAACTTCGCCATGGAGTTATAGTATCAGCGTTTTGCCTCTGATTTGTTTTCTCTTTCTAAACCCTACAAAAAAAAATATTTCTCGTGACAACGATAACAGAGTCCAATGTAAAAGTATGAACAAAAAGCAGTTATGAGAGGACAGAAACATTGAGTTCTCGCGCCAAAAAAACCGCTAAAACAGGTAAACTTGTTTACACTTGGACGAGAGAGGAAGTGAACAGTACTTGATTGTCCGCCGTGGTATGCGTGGCCTGCAAGTAATTTGCAAATGGGAGAATGGAGGATATTTGAAAAGTTCTGTGATAATTTTTATTTTAAACAAATATGATACAAGCAGCATATAGCTGAGTGTATATCACCCACGTGTTGGGGCAGCGGTGCGCGGACCTCCCCGTGAGGACACTCATGTGATACGCTAAGGACGGTCCCCCCGAGGGCTGGCCGCCCTGCGCCCCCGCCCAGCGCCCGCTCTGCAGCCTGCCCTCCCGCTGCCCCTGCCTGACAACACGGCGACAACGCCGAAGTACGACTTGGGGTGCGTACTACGAACGTTGGTGCCATGTTAAAATAATGTATTTTTTGATATATAACTCTGATATTTGTAATAATAAATCTGATTTTGTTACACAACAATAAACACCATCATCGTCTCTCTAATTCTCCCGAGTGAGGGGGGGGGGGCGTTGCCTCTGAGCAAAGTACCTCTAAAGCGTCGATTACCTCCAATGTCAATTCCCTCTAAAAAGTAAGGGTCAAGTGCCTCTATTTGTTTTCTAAATGTGTGTCTTATACTGGTGACAATGCGAATGACAACGCCTGCGGCGCGTCGGGCAGGCCCGCCCGCCAAGTGTCTGTGGGGAGGTGGCGGCCTACCCTCAGCGCCTGAGCGGCGATACCCCACCCCCTGCTAGCCCCTGAAAGCACATACCCTGCAACGAGACTATACTACGTGCGTGCAACACTGTTATTTGCGAGAAAAGTTCGTTAGGCTGCTGCTTGTGACTGCTGGGCGGAGGTAAGAAACTGTGCTATTTTCTTTTTGCTGTAGTTTGTCTTTGTAAATAGATTTGTCAATATAGTGTTATAGAGACACCTTTGTCTTGAAGTAATGCTGAAGTCCAAGCCTCTGTCTATGCGTAGATGCGGAAGAACACAAACGTGATAAGTCTCATTCACAAACTTATTTTCATAACCTCATTTTGCATTTTCTACTCTTAGTACGCCGAACTTTTTGACATTTATCTAAGGCAAATTTAAATGCATGTCGAAAATATTTTCTGTTTCACTTTTGTCAGGCTGTTGGTATTTGGTGTTGAGCCAAAGATGTTGGATCTAGAGAGAATGAAAACACGCAAAATAAGAGCCCTGGGAAAAAAAGTAAGTGGCAAAGTGCAAGTGAAGTGGCAATAAAGTGTCACTTGGTTGCCCCCTTGCTAAGGTGGCATTTAAGTGGATTTTGACATTTTAAGTGGCAAGGTGGCGAAGTGGCAAGAAGGAGGTGAAG